TTCTTCCTTTTTATGGCAAAATAAAAACCCCAGTAAAACTTAGTACTCTCCGTGCTCCTTATAACAAAGGGGGTCTGGACATTCCAAATTACAGATGCCATTATTTGCCATCTCAGTTTCACCCAGTATGGGCTTGGTTACATTCTGAGAGGGGATATTGGATAGCTTTCTGTAGAACAGTATCTACTGAAGGCAACCCCACTAAGTATCATTCCATTCTTGGGCACAAAGAAAAACCCTTCCTTAACTACAAAAAGTCCCATAATCTTGAACACTGATCTTAAGGTATGGCAGGAATCCCATGCTTTCCTGGAACTAGATATCTCACTGCTGAGAAAGACACCCCTATGGAATAATCCCAACATCCCATACCCTATTGTGGATGGAACTTTAAAGAAGTGGGCTAACATCCATCCATCCATCCATCCATCCATCCATCCATCCATCCATCCATCCATTCTCTTCCACTTTTCCGGGGTCGGGTCGTGGGGGTAGCAGCTTAAGTAGGGAGGCCCAGACTTCCCTCTCCCCAGCCACTTGGGCCAGCTCTTCCAGGGGAATCCCAAGGCATTCCCAGGCCAGCCGAGAAACAGTCCCTCCAGCGTGTCCTAGGTCTTCCTCTGGGTCTCCTCCCAGTGGGACGTTCCCAAACACCTCACCAGGGAGGCGTCCAGGAGGCATCCTAACCAGATGCCCGAGCCACCTCAACTGGCTCCTCTCGATGTGGAGAAGCAGCGGCTCTACTCTGAGTCCCTCTCGGATGACCGAGCTTCTCACCCTATCTCTAAAGGAGAGCCCAGACACCCTGTGGAGAAAACTCATTTTGGCCGCTTATATCCGAGATCTCGTTCTTTCAGTCACAACCCAAAGCTCATGACCATAGATGAGGGTAGGAACGTAGCTCTACCGGTAAATTGAGAGCTTCGCCTTTTGATTCAGCTCTCTAGTTACTACGACAGACCGGTACAGCGCCCACTTCACTGCCGACACTGCAGCTGTCCGCCTATCGATCTCACGCTCCATTTATCCCTAATTCGTGAACAAGACCCTGAGATACTTGAAATTCTCCATTTGGGGCAAGACCTCCTCCCCGACCCGGAGAAGGCACTTTACCCTTTTCCAGCTCAAGACCATGGCCTCGGATTTGGATCCTCATCCCGGCCGCGTCACACTCGGCTGCAAACAGCTCCAGCGAAAGCTGTAGATCACGACCTGATGAAGCCAATAGGACCACATCATCTGCAAAAAACAGAGAAGTGATCCTAAGGCCACCAAAATGGATCCCCTCAACACCTTGGCTGTGCCTAGAAATTCTGTCCATAAAAGTTATGAACAGAATCGGTGACAAAGGGCAACCTTGGCGGAGTTCAACTCTCACTGGGAACAAGCCCAACTTACTGCCGGCAATGCGGACCAAGCTCTGACACCAGTTGTACAGGGACCTAACAGCCCGTATCAAAGGGCCTGGCACCCCATAGACCCAGAGTACCCCCCACAGGGCTCCCCGAGGGACGCGGTTGAACGCCTTCTCCAAGTCCACAAAGCACATGTAGACTGGTTGGGCAAACTCCCATGCACCCTCCACGACCCTGCTGAGGGTGTAGAGCTGGTCCAGTGTTCCATGACCAGGACAAAAACTGCACTGCTCCTCCTGAATCCGAGGTTGGACTATCCAACCGACGGGCCCTCCTCTCCAGAACTCTTGAATAGACCTTACAGGAGGCTTAAGAGCGTGATCCCCTGTAATTGGAACACACTCTACGGTCCCCCTTTTTGAATAGGGGGACCACCACCCCAGTCTGCCAATCCAGGGAAACTGCCTCTTATGTCCACGCAATATTGCAGAGGTGTGTAGCCAACACAACCCCATAACATCCAGAGCCTTAAGGAACTCCGGGCGAATCTCATCCACCCCTGGGGCCCTGCCACCGAGGAGCTTTTTAACCACCTCGGTGGCCTCAGCACCAGATATTGAAGAGCCCGACCCAATGTCCCCAGGCTCTGCTTCCTAAGTGGAAGATGTGCCCGTGGGATTGAGGACGTCTTCGAAGTATTCTGCTCTCCGACCCACGACATCCCAAGTTGAGGTCAGCAGCACACCACCTCCACTATGAATAGTGTTGGTGGCGTACTGCGTTCCCCCCCGAGATGCTGGATGGTGGACCAGAATCGCCTCAAAGCCATACGGAAGTCATTCTCCATGGCCTCTCTGAACTCCTCCCATGCCCGAGTTTGTGCCTCAACGACCAGCCAAGCCGCATGCTGCTTGGACTGCCGGTACCCATTAGCTACTTTTGGGGTCCCACAGGCCAAAAAGGCCCGATAGGACTCCTTCTTCTGCCTGACAGCATCCCTCACCGCTGGTGTCCACCACCAGGTTTGAGGGTTACCACCGCGACTGACACCGACAACTTTGTGGCCACAGCTCTGATAAGCCGCCTCGACATTAGAGGCATGGAACATGGTCCACTCGGACTCAATGTCCCTCGCCTCCCCCGGAACGTGTTCGAAGCTCTCCCGGAGGTGGGAGTTAAAGCTCAGTCTCACAGGAGACTGTGCCAGATGTTCCTAGCAGACCCTCACAATACGTTTGGGTCTGCCAGGTCTGACCGGCATCTTCTCCCACCATCGGAGCCAACTCACTACCAGGTGGTGGTCAGTGGACAGCTTCACTCCTCTCTTCACCTGAGTGTCCAAGACATGCGGCCGCAGATCAGATGAGACGACAACAAAGTCGATCATCGAACTGCGGCATAGGGTGTCCTGGTGCCAAGAGCACATATGGACACCCATATGCCTTTAACATGGTGTTCATGATGGACAATCCATGATGAGCACAGAAGTCCAATAACAGAACACCACTCTAGTTCAGATCAGGGGTCCATTCCTCCCAACCACACTCCTCCAGGTCTCACTGTCATTGCCCACGTGAGCGTTGAAGTCCCCCAGCAGAACAAGGGAGTCCCCAGGAGGCGCACTCTCAAGTACCCCCTCCAAGGACTCCAAAAAGGGTGGGTATTCTGAGCTGCTGTTTGGCGCATAAGCACAAACAACAATCAGAAACCATCCCCCCACACGTAGGCAGAGGGAGGCTGCCCTCTCGTTCACCGGGGTGAACTCCAACGTACAGGCACCAAGATGGGGGGCAACAAGTATGCCCACTCCTGCTCAGCGCTTCTTGCCAGGGGCAATTCCAGAGTGGAAGAGTGTCTAACCCCTCTCAAGGAAACTGGTTCCAGAGCCAGAGCCATGTATTGAGGTGAGTCCGACTATTTCTAACCGGAATCTCTCAACTTCACACACCAACTCAGGCTCCTTCCCCACCAGAGAGGTGACATTCCAAGTCCCAATAGCCAGCTTCTGTAGCCGAGGATCAGATCACCAGGGTCCCCGCCCTCGGCCACCACCCATTCCAGTGGACTAACAAAGGAATCAAAATGTTTGATGACCTTTATAGTAACAACATATTGTTTAAGTTTCAGCTATTATCTTCTAAGTTCAACCTGCCACAAAACAACAATTTTAAATTACTCCAAATCAGACACTGGCTTCAAGATAACTTAGCTAATTTCCCATGTATACCTAATGAATCCCCCCTCAAGAGACACCTGCTCAATACACAAATCTCTTCCACAAGAGGACTGTTATCTTCTACAGTATATACAAGAGTCTGAACAAAAATTTAGTAATTTACGATAGACTGTCATTTAAAAACAAGTGGGAGACAGACCTTGGTTGTAATTATGACGACACCGACTGGCAAAACATTTCGGACAGATGCCACACAGTTCTCATCTCTATTAAACATAGACAAATACAATTTAACATTTTCTACAGAGTCTATTTTACCCCACAGATATAAAAAAAAAATCAATGGGAACATCTCTAACATGTGCCAAAGATGTAAAATAGCTGAAGGCAACCTACTGCATATGCTCTGGTCTTGTCCTTGCCTAGAAGACTTTTGGAAGTTTGGAAGTTCATTATAACCACTGTATCAGACGTCAGAGAAGCTGAAATTCCATGAGACCCGAAGATTTGACTTCTTGGAGATATCAATATGCTTAATATTACTGAATATAAAAAATATTTTGTAACTTTAGCCAGCATTGCTGGGAAAAAAAATAATAATAATAATTAGAAATCAGAAAACCCGCCATCGCAAAAGCATTAGTTAAATGAGCTTTCATCATATTGCACTCCAGAAAAAAAAAAGTACAATGTAAGGAGAAAACCTGCTACCTTTGATAGAATATGGAGCTCTTTCCTGCTTTTTCTCCCTCCACTTAATCCTCTTACTTGAATGCATACTATTCAACTTCTCAACAGGTTTGATTCTCCTTTTCGCTTCCTCTTCTCTCCTTTTTAAAAATATAAATATTTAAGGTATCCCAAAGATCTAGGTGTTGTGAAGGTTCTTTTTTTTTTTTTGAGTGCAGTACCATTCGGGTTCGGGGTGTGGGGTGTAAATGTTCATTTTTATTTTGTTAATATTGTATTTTACACATTGTATAAAAATGGCAAGGGCTGCTCTGTGTTCACTTCAAAGCACCAGAAATGATTGATTTGAAAGTAACGTCTGCATGTAAGGTCATAAAGTTTTTCACACTAAAGTCAAGTTTTGAAATGAGTTACAGACACAGTCAAACTTGTTTCTAACCATTTTGTTAAAAACGAAACAATTTGAAATGGAAAAAAGTACAGGTAATAAGAAAAAATACTAAAAATCAACTGATAAGAATTTCTTTGTTAGAAAATATTTAAAAAAATTTGACCACAGGGACATGTTATTAATCTCAGGCGTGTCCTGTAATCAACATCAGCCTTCAGCTTCAGTCTTCTAATCAGTCGGAAAAAGTAGTCACTGTGCTGTTTGGTACCATGGTGTGTACCACACTGAACATGGAGTACAGAAAGCTAAAGACAGAGTTGTCTCGGGAGCTTAGAAAGAAGAATATTGTCATGCTTGTTAAAGAAAAAGCAATAGGACCATTTCCTACCTTGCTGTGGACTCTGGCAGAACGGACCAGTCCACTGGGAAGTGCAGATACATGTAAATCCATTGATGCTGTCAGTGCAGGTTCCTCCATTTTGACAGGGGTTACTTGAACATTCATCAATATTCTGGTCACAGTGAGGTCCTTGCCAGCCAGCGTTACAGTTGCAGAAGTAGCCAGGCGGTGAGGTGGTACTCTGTCATAGCAATGTGTAAACAAATGTTCCACACGTTCAACTAATTTATTATTGTCTAATTGTTGTTTAAACAAATTTTCAGGAGTTCTCGTCTTATCCTAAACTCAGGTCAGGTTCAGGTCTCTCTTGTAAATGAGTCCTCGAGGCTCAATGGGATTTACCTGTCTAAATAAAGGTTGAATGACAACTATTTGAGTATAAAAAGTATTCAAACAGCACACATCTTTCCTGCAAGAGTAAAGCATTGGTAATTCAAAATACTAACTCAATATGTTCAAGTCCCATTAAAACGATGGTGCACTTGACAGTACCATATTTGGGTTAAAAAAAAAAAAGACACAGAATGTTATTCTAAGTTTAACGTCCTGTAAAGTGAATCATCATCAACATAGACAGTGAAAAAGTCCATGGCTAACTTTCATTGACTCGTTGAAACTAGAAACGATGTTTCTTCTAAACAAAAATAGATGATTTTAAAGTGTCAGCAGACGAGATGGAGAGGAAAACGTGAACTGGGACTGAGCCAGAGCAGTGAAAGACACAGTCTTACCACACACTGTCCATTGACACAGGGGTTGTTGCTCTGACAGATGTTACTCATCTGGGTGCAACCTGTTGGGCCGTAACCATTGCCAGTATATCCTGCTGGGCAGGTGCATACAGGGAAGCTTGAACCTGATTGTGGATTTGAAGAAAACAAGAAAAAAAAATCTAGTCACTTTTGCACATTTTATCTTTAAATTGTCCTTTTATAGCACAAAGGTTTATCTACTTACTAATATTGTGAAATCATGAAAAATATGTTTTAGACACTTTTTTTTTGGTAATTTAATAATCATTTAAACATAATAATTGGTGCATAGGACAAAACGTCCCTTAATTAAGAAAGTCTTTTTAACGATTCATACATGTTTTACCTGGGTTAGAGGAGCAACTAGCCAACGGGTAGCAGCCTCCATTGTTGGAAGAGCAGATATTGGATTGCGTGCATGTTCTCCCATCTCCCTCATAGCCTGCACAAATACAAGAACTGTATCTAAATCAAGACTTTTAATCTCTAAGCTATAAATGCATTAAAATGGAAGCTTTAGTTGTTTACATGTACTGTAACTCCATCAAATGAGACATGTGTTACTGTTGTGAACAAACTGCGAGCTATAGTCTCTGATAGTCACACCAAATGTCAGGATTTTGTACATTGGCAACTTTTGTTTGGTCATACCAGGAGGACAGGGTCCACAGTGGAAAGAGCCCATAGTATTCAAACACTGAACCATCGGAGTGACAGAGCAGCCACCATTGTTGGTCAAACATTCATCCACATCCTGACAGCTGTATCCGTTGCCTTGCCAACCTAAAATGTATCGGAGGACAATAAAGAAAAGTTACGTTTTGTGTTCAAATGAGACTGATCATGAAATATATACAGTATAATGTATGTAGGAAAATGCTGTTAAAGTCAGAAAAAAGAATTGGTTTTATTGTTTGACCCATGTTGTAGCTCGTGTTTTCCAATGATAGATTAGTGTTACTAGATCAAACCAAAGACGAGAAGTATTGAAAGGGTTTTCTATCAAAAATGACCCATTTTGTTATAATTTTTCCCCTGCTGTCAACCTTGAAAAGTTAAAATCTCAGGAACGAGATGGGGTAGAGGTAGGGCAGCCGACTTGGGGCCAGCAAGTTGCAGTTCGATTCCCAGCCATTCTCATATATCGTAGTGTCTCTGAGCAAGACACCCAATCCCCAGTTGCTCCCCGAGCACTTACATAGCTGCCCACTGCGTCACCTGGGTGTATCTCATGTGTGATGGGGTAAATGCAAAGAACTAATTTCATCTTCGTATGGGAACATACAATGATGACAAACTCAGACTTCCCCTATTTTTGGGTGTGTCTGGGACCTTGAGCACACAATTTTGTTCCACCTCATGTACAACATGTGATTTGAATGACATTGAAGAACCTTCAACCTTGAACATGCTTTTTACAGACAGAACAGTTTATATATAAAAAACATCAAATTAACTTGTCTTGATTTGGAACGTGAGAGTCCCGTTTAGTTCCCCTCTCTTTGTTTGGGACATACTGTAATTTGTTGTGACATCATCATGTCACTCATTCGGTTTATCTCTGTCAGTTGTGGCCATGGGTGAGATACTAATGGCTTGATTACTTGTACCAGTTAGTGACGTGCGTCTCATTTGGCTCATATGTTTCAGTTTGGGATGTGTGTTCTGTTTGGTATACTTGTCTCGGTTTAGGACGAGTGTGTTCTATTAGGTTCATTTGTCTCAGTTCACCTGTCTCATTTGGCATACAGGTGTGTGTTGTTTAGTGCAGATGTTTTGATTTGGAACATGTGTGTCCACTTTATTACCTGCCTCAATTTGGGACATGGGTATTGTTTGGTCCACCTGTTTTGGTCAGGGATGTGTTTCCACCTTTCTAGTTGTGGGACATGTGCATTGTTTGGTTCAGCTGCCTTGTTTAGTCATGTGTAGGTATTCTGTTCACCTACAAAGTATCTTAGTTAGGGGCAATTGTATCACTTGGTTCATCAGTCTTGGTTTAGGATAAGTGTATCGTTTGGTTCACCTGTCTTTTTTCAGGAAGTGCACCATACAGTATATTGCTTAATTTACCTGTTTGGGAAGTGTGTAGTGTTCGGGTTCACCTATCTCGGTTTGGGACATGTGTATTGTTTGGTTTAGCTGCCTTGTTTAGTCGTGTGTGTGTGTATTCTGTCCACCTGTCTTAGTTATGGACAAGTGTATCGCTTGGTTCATCTGTCTTGGTTTAGGATGTGTGTATTGCTTAATTCATCTGTCTAAGTTTGGGAAGTGTGTACTGTTCGGGTTCACCTATCTCAGTTTGGGATGTGTACATGTTTGGTTCAGCTGTCTTGTTTAAGCACTTAATTATAACAGTCTTGTTCAGGAACCTGTGAATCATTTGATCCCCATGCTGGTCAGGAATTTGGGTATTGTTTGGGTCCCTTGTCTGAGTTAGAGATGTGTATCCTTTGGTTCACCTGTTCTGGTTCCAGATGTGTGTATTGTTCAGTTAATATCTCTTGGTTCAAGATGAGTGTCTTGTTTGATTACATGTCCCAGTGAATAATGTGTGTATCTCTTGGTTTACCTGTCTCAGCTGAAGAAGTGTGTAAAGTTTGGTTAATCTGTCTCATTTCTGGACATCTTTGCTGTTTGGTGCACAGCTCTCAGTTTAGGACGTGAATCTTGTTTGGTTCATCAAGGATAAAACAGTAGATGGGGCCCTGTGATTTCTGCCATGAGGAAAACATGGAGTGAATTGTTAGAAGGTCTTGTAGAGCTGATGAACTGTTTAAAGGTCTGACGAGACTCAGTCAGGAGAGAGGCCAGTCCAGTGAGTTTATAACAACAGGCCCAGCATTTTGTCTTGTCTAATGAAATGAGTTTATACTAGTATTTAACAATATTTATTGACCCTTATTTAACCAGGCAAATCCCGTTGATACTGCAGAGCTTGTTTTCCATGTCTGCCTGGGCCTGAAGGCAGCTTAACATGCACGTTTTTGTACTGTGGGAGGAAACCGGAGTACCCAAACTCAAGCAAACACAAAGTGAACAGGCGAACTCCACACAGAAAGATCCC